GAGGAAGTCTACAGACAACTCCAATCAACACTGGACAAGACTCCAGTTGGCGACATCAAAATTCCAATGGGTAACATGAATGCCAAACTGGGAGCGGACAACACACAAAGAGAACCAATCATGGGTAGAGAAGCACCCGCTGAAATGATCAAAAACAATGGAGAACTGTTTGCAGACTTCTGAGCATTCAACGATTTCGTGATTGCAGACCAGGCAGTCTGTACAAACACAAGGATATTCACAAGGCAGTGACATGGATCTCATTTCGCCAGACACCAGGACACACTACACTAAAAATCAGATCGATTTCATCTCAATGTGAAGAAAGTGGAGACGCAGCCAGACTACTCGACACAAGATCAGATCACGAAGAGGAGCAAATGTAGGTTCACACCACTCACTTCACTATCTAGTGCAAGGAACCTACCTTCAAAATCAAGTGGAAAGCCTCCACAGAAGTTCGTGATCATCGATCACAGTTCAAGTTGAACAACCACCCACAACAGAAACTGAACTGAAGGACGAAACTACAAAAGAACATCTTCACGTCAGTCAGTTATCAGGACAAAATGGGAAACATTATGCAACATCCCTGAAGAAACCTGTGTGGAACAACACTGGAACTCTTTGAAACCGACGTGGGAAGAAGCTGCATAACCCTGTTAGGAATGAAGAAGAGACAAGACAAGGAATGGATCTCGACAGATCCCGACATGCAAACTGATAGAGGAAGAAGAGGGAGATGGTGAAGCACAAGATGAACAAGTGCAGTGCAGGGATGAACAAAGGGAAGGGGAACTGACAACAACATATAAAACAGTGTACTGGACAAGGAAGTGAAGAAGAGTGCACGCAAAGACAAAAGACACACCACACTACGACACACTGGCAAGTGAAAACGAACAGGCTGCTGGTAGGAAAGACAGAGACCTGACAACATATATCAAATTACCAGGTTACTATCTGGGAGGGAAGAGATCAACACAAATGAAACCAATGGAAGATAGTGAAGGAAGCCTAGTTACCAAAGAGGAGAAACAAAAGAAACAATGGTCTGACCACTTCAAAAGACTCTTGAATCGACCACCACCACACCCACCACCACCTGCAACTTGTCCAGAAATACCATCAGCAGCCTAACCATAAAACTATCAGTGAACACAAGCCCTCCGACAAAGCAGAAGTGGAGTCCTGAACGTCATAAAGTTGCTGAAATCCAGGAAGGTAGCAGGACCACAAGATTACCTTCAGAAGAACTGAAAACAAACGCAGAGACAACAGCAGACATGCTCATACCACTATTGTACGAGGTTTGGAAGAAAGGAAGAAGGAAAGGTACCTGCAAATCGATTGGGAGAAGGGCTATCTTGTCAAACTCTCAAACAAGGGAGACCTAAGTCTTGGCAAGAACTGGTGCGGAATCATGCTCCACTCTTGTCCACCACGAGCAAAATATTAAGCCACATCATCCTGGAGAGACTAAACAATGAGCTGGATTCAAAATTACAACAGGATTAGGCTGGCCGGCTGGCTGGTTGGCTTCAGGAAAAACAAATCATATCCTGATCAAATTGTAATGCTACACTACGCATCACCATAGAACAGAGCATAGAATGACAGTCAACTCAACATAACCTCAACTTCATCGACACTGAAAAGGCCTTCCACAGTGTCGATCGAGAAGTGATTTGGCATCTGCTGCTTCAACACTACAGTTTTAGTGACACAAACTTTGATCAACCTCATTCAACAGCAACTAGATGTTGTGTGGTGCTACATGCCGAGTGATTCACAACGGAAAGCTAAGTGACACCTTTGAATTGAGGACAGGAGTCTGACAAGGCTGCCGCCTACCATCACAAATGATCATCCTGATTGTGATGGACTGGATCATGCATCAAACCGTGAGTAGTGAGAAGAGGGGCATACCCCGTCTGGACCGATGAAGGGACCCCAGAAGCAGATTTGGATTCCGCCCATGATGATTTATGTCTAATGTCTTATCGCACAAACTCGAAGATCTACAGGCAAGAACCAACTAGTTAACAGAAGAGGCAGCGAAGCGGAACTCCAAGTGAACGTAGAGAAGACAGAGTTAATGAAGATACCCAACCAACAACAACAACAAGCACCAATCACCATTAACGGGAGAAACCCAAAGGAAGTAGTCCCTTTCACCTACCTAGGCAGGACAGCATCGTTTCAACTACAGGCAGGCGACACAGGCACAAATGAAGACGTCAAAGCCAGCATCGGAAAAAGTAGCAAGACAGGCATTCGTCAATCTTAAACCAGTGTGGAGATCTACTGCACTCCACTCCACTCCACTCAAGATACAGTGTGAACAAGATCCACATATTCAACACTAATTCAGTCAAGTCAGTGCTTCTATGTGACGTAACTATAAAAATCAAATGTCAAAGCTGTGTGATTACATTGATAGATTATGAGAAATAATCTATGCTCGAAATGTCATCAAGTAAATAATACTTTATCACTATGGCATATAAAGCAAACTAACAAATCTAATACGGAATCAAATTCTACCACAGTGCACGAGTTTTACACCTACACTTCTATGTGATGGTTCAGAGACTTGGCGCGTCACGTGAAGCATTTCCAACAAACTACAAACATACGTCATCAACAGCTAACGCCTACGCTCACTCGATACTCAAGATCAGATGGCCAGAAAGAATAAGCAACAAGGAACTCTGGCTGGGTAACGAACCAATCACGAACCCATCGACCAACAAGTATCCAGAAGAAAGTGGAGATGGATTGGATTGGGCATACACTGAGAAGACCGATTGGGGACATCATGCACCAGGTCAGGTCGTCGAGTGGAACCCAAAGGGGAAACGACCAGTTGGGCATCCCAGCTGAGGGTAGCATGGAGGAGATCGTGTGAGGAAGAAATGAAAGCTTGTGAGCAGTGGTGGAGCCAGGTTGAGAAGACTGCAGAGAAGAGAGTGCAGTGGAGATGTGCTACTGAAGCCCTGTGTTTCACTAGGAACCCAAGGGACAAATAAAATAATAAACAATATTACAGATGTTACACAGTGAAGCAGTATCATTTACTGGATATGATATGAATGTCGATGGTAGATTACCTCCGATTATCCAGTAAATGATACGGTCTCATGGTGTGACATTTCTGATAAACAGACTAAAATGAAACAAGTTCTTGAATTTCGTTTATAATGAATTAATGGGGCCTTCAATGAGATGACCTTCAAGTATGAAGGCACCTATGTATAACTTGGCCACACCTTCACCTAAGTGCATATTGGCAATCTTCGAGCGTCTGAGGTCACAGTATGAGGAATTCTTACTTCGTTGAGAATTTATGATTGGAAATACGTTGGGTTATTAAGTGCATTATGAACTTAAATGTAGACTATTGACAGAACTGGTATACAAGATATGAACACATAAATCTTCGGTTTTGTCTCCGAAATCAACAGCCTAGGGTTTGACAAGATTCAAAATTGGTGTTAAACTTCATAGTTTTAACGGACTCGCTAAGCTGAAGGGATATGGTCGAACATCCACACCATTTTGCAAGCATTCGAGTTACTTTACGTTACTCATACGGGATTCTGTAGTCAGTTAGTCAACATGCATCCACATTTTGGCACGGACTGTCAAATATGCTATTGTACCTGGCTACTCTGTTGGAGTCTTTCTTGGTCTCACACTCGTTGGTATGCAACAAGTACGAATAATTAGTGATCGGCTTTCAGGTCTGTTAAGTTTGTGTAAGATCAATTTCCAAATATACTTCATATCTGAAGGAGCAAAACTACCTGAATAATTCCGCACTTGTGCCGGTTGTAAATTTATCTGCTAAATGTCTGTGTTTAAATAGAATTAAATGGGGGATCACCTAAGAAGTGGAAAAATGCGAGGTATAGTGTTTGTGTGTGTGTGTGAGAGAGAGAGAGAAACGAAATCCACTATCACTAATGCGAGTCTGCCAACCGCGGCTATCTCAACTAGTCAAACTGCTAATTATCATCTTATCTTACAAGATAACTCATAGATCCTGTAACAGTTTTCGTAAAAGCCTATGAGTCACTGGACAACCTCGTTGCGAATGTCAAAAAGAATGGAGTGTATCTGATTATTCTGTATCTGATGGCTGTTAGTCAGGAATTGTAACCAATAAATCATGGGCCTGTTAGACAGAGTTTTCAATATCAGTATGAATCTGACTAGAAAATGAGAAAATCTCGTACAGTCACTAACTTAATGGATTGCCTCCAATACGGCAAAGAAACCTTTGCAGAATGGCCGATCCAGATTAACCGTATTTACAAGCTTTGTAATATTTATAATTAACTAACCGTGGAATCCAGAGAGCGAGCTTCGTCCTATTTGGGAGTCACCAGCTGGATGTATCTGCATCCAAGCAAGTGATGCTCCTACTGAGACCCGAACCCATGACTTTGCAGCTTAGTGATGATTATTATTTGTTAACAACATATATCGCTTGTTTCATAGCCTGAAATAGTTTAGTTGAGTATAAGTAGTTCATTGGGAATTGCGGCCGTGTAATGTATGCGTATAAGCACAAAAGCACTGCATTTTACAGATAAAGAGCTGTCAGTTTTCCTCTTCACATCCGTCGATTTCGAAGATTGGAGAGTTTGCGATTTATCTACCGTGTGTACTACATTTCTGCTATTATCCATTTGTGTGACAAGTTTATCAACTGACAGATGGATAGTGTGTCAAACTATAACAGATAAGTCCAAGAGATTGAAATCCGTGAAGCTATATAAAAGGCTGGATTCACTTAGATTTGTACAATAGTTTATATAAAGTTGTACTTTCGGTAGTGATTGGTTGTGTAAGCCAGATTGCTTACTAGTACAACTTTTATCATTGTACTTACGCAATAAAAACTTGTGAGAATGATGAAAAAGGTGTTTTCTTCATATATATATATATATATATATATATATATATATATATATATATATATATATATATATATATATATATATATATATATATACGAAATAACAGAACAGCAGTTATATAAACTATTTCCAGGCAATACGAGCCACTATCGATGTTGATTTAACACACTCATGAAGTTTCATTTGGTTAACTTTTGTATAGGAAGTATGAAACACATTTATTCGATGAAAATATTATTTCAGTTTCAACTTGCCTCAAATCTTCTATCCAGTTCAAAGTGACACTAGACCATTCACAGCAGTAAATGATAAGATGAACTAATTCCATTCGAACCATCACTTTGAGGATCCAATCTAGTTTAATACGACTGACTGGTTTCCTTACTGTCAGTCATCCTTGCTAATTAGGGAGCAAGGAGCTTCGTTAACAGTTTAATTACGGTAGAAATGACTTTCGGTTCAGCAGATGAGAAAAAAAATAAACACTAGCGAAATGCTAATTGGCACTGGAACAACACAAGAAAGTGAAACGAAATGGAAAACACAGAAAATGGAGGCATTAAAGAACCTTGAAAGGCACAAAAACATAGTAAATGCTGAATCACATAAAAGCAATTCAGTAGTGATGTTGACACAGCTTTGATCATTTTGGAAAGATAAAAAAAACATATAAAGACAGCGCTGTATGAAAAAATTGATAAACCAGAGGCATACTATTACTAATAAGATCAAGAAACTTGTAGATAACCAAGTAAACCAAACAGACTAGTTTCTAATGGAGTCCAAATGATTGAACTGAATGGCTTCAGCCAATAATTGCACCTGAATATACACTGTTATTAATAACTATAAGTTATCCTACTAGGCCTATTGTTTACTTCAGGTACATAATAACTGAGGAGTTTATCCAATACTTCTAGATGATATCACATCAAATTAAAAGTCAGTAATGATTGAGTCTCAGCAAGGTTCAACTCAAAAATAAGGAACGAAAGTCACAATCATACAATGCAACGATACGCACCTACAAATAATCCAGATGAAGAGAAGAAGGAGGAATTCTACAGATAACTGCAATCAGCACTGGACAAGACCTCAGTTGGCGATATCAAAACTCATTCTAATGAGTGACATGAATGCCAAACTGGGAGCAGACAACGCAGGAAGACAACTAACCATGTGTCGAGAAGCGCTCGGTGAAATGAATGAGAATGGAGAATTGTTTGCAGAATTCTGCGCATTCAACGATTTGGTGATTGGAGGCACTGCGTTCAAGCACAAGGATACCAACAAAGCGACATGGATTTCACCAGGACACACTAAAAATCAGATCGACTTCATCTCAATGTGAAGAAAGTCGAGACGCAGCCTACTTGACGCAAGATCAAGAAGTGGAGCAGATGTAGGCTCAGACCACTATCTAGTGCAAGAACCTTCAAAATCGAGTTGAAAGTCTTCGCAGAAGTTGGTGACAGACCACAGTTCAAGCCCAACACTCGGAAACTGAAGGATAAAACTGTAAAAGAACATCTTCACGTCAGCCATCACGACAAAATGGGAGATATCGAGGAATATCCCTGAAGAAACCTGTGTGGATGAACACTGGAACTCTTTGAAAGCTATGTGGAAAGAAACCTGCACAGCTGTATTAGGAAGGAAGAAGAAAGAAGATAAGGAATGGATCTCGACGGACACACGGGAGCTGATAAAGGAGGATGGTGAAGCAGAAGATAAACCAGTGCAAGGACGCACAACGAAAAGACCAACTGAGTACAACGTACAAAACACTGGACAAAGAAGTGAAAAAGAGTGCACGCAAAGACAAAAGACACACAACACTACGACACACTGGCAAGTGAAACAGAACAGGCTGCTGGTAGGAAAGACAGAGACCTGACAACATTATATCAAATAACCAGGTTACTATCTGAGAGGGAAGAGATCAACACAGATGAGACCAATGAAAGAAAGTGAAGGAAACTTAGTTACCAAAGAGGAGAAACAAAGAGAACAATGGACTGACCACTTCTAAAAAGCTCTTCAATCGACCACCACCTGCACTTCGTCCAGAAATACCACCAGCAGCCCAGCCGCTGAACTACAAGTGAACATAAATCCTCCAACAAAAGCAAAAGTCCTGATCGCCATAAAGGTACTGGAATGTGGGGAAGCAGCAGGACGAGATGGAATCCCACCAGAAGCACTGAAAACAGACACAGAGACAACAGCGGACATGTTCATACCACTATTGCAGAAGGTGTGGAAGGAACGGAAGGTACCTGCAGATTGAAAGAAGGGTTACCTTGTCAAACTTCCAGACAAGGGAGACCTAAGTCTTTGCAAGAACTGGCGCGGAATCACTCTCCTGTCCACCCAAAGCAAGCAAAATATTAAGCCGCATCATCCTGGAGAGACTAAAGGATGCGCTGCATTCAAAACTACTACCGGAACAGGCTGGCTGGCTAGCTGGCTTCAGAAAAAACAAATCATGTGCGGATCAAACTGTAGCACAACGCAACGCTACGCATCATCATAGAACAGAGTATAGAATGGCATTCAACTCTACACCACAACTTCCTCCACTTTGAAAGGGCCTTTGATAGCGTCGACCGAGAAGTATTTTGGCAGTTGCTTCAACACTACGGAATACCACAATCCTTTATCAACCTCATTCAACAACTATATGAAGACGCCACATGCCAGCCAAGTAATTCACAATGGACATCTCAGCTCAGTGATGCTTTTGAAGTGAAGACAGGAGTGAAACAAGGCTGTCTACCATCACCCCTGATATTCCTGATTGTGGTCGACTGGATCATACAGCAAACAGTAGGCAGCGAGAAGAGGGGGATACGCTGGGCTGCGGAAAAGAACCTAGAAGATCTGGATTTCGCAGATGACTTATGTCTAACGTCAAACAAACTTGAAGATCTACAGGCGAAAACTAACAAGTTGGCAGAAGAGGCAGGGCAGCGAAGAC